CGAGTTGGAGGAGGGAGGGTGGTGGTGACACTGCGTGCTCCCGTTCCCCCCTGCCCCCCTTTTGCGATTTGCCGCGCAGCGTGGCCTGCCACGTCAGGCTCGGGCTGCCCTGGCTCCTCCTCGTCCTTCCCTTGTTGCTGCTCCTCCTCCTCCTCCTTTTTCTGCTCCCGTTGCTCCATCCCCCCCTCCTCCCCCTCTTCCTCCTCCTCCTCGTCCTCCTCCTCCTCCTCCTCCTCCTCCTCCTCCTCCTCATCCTTCCCCCTCCCCCCCTCAGGAGCGCCGGACGTTCAGCTCCGGCTGCGAGCTCGAGGGCCACTGCCCCGTCGCGCTGCTGGACGGGCAGGAGCTGGCGAGCCTCCTCCTAACCCCGCTGCTCCTCGTGCTGCCTCCGTGCTCCTCGCTGCCGCTGCCTCCCTTTGCTTCGTCGTCCCGTGCATCCCCCCCGCCTCCTCCCCGTTTTCTCCCCCGACCCGTCCTGCCGCTGCTCCCACCTCTTGGCTTTCTCCTCTCCCTCGTGCTCTCGCCAGCTCGTCCTCTCCCCGATCTCTCTCTCTCTCTCTCTCTCTCCATCGCTCCATCGGCATACCCTTCAGCCGCTGCGCCTCACCGCTGCGCATCCTCGCTTGATCGGCAGACCCTTCAGCACAGGAACGTAGTGCGACAGGCGATGAGCAAAGCCCAGCAGGATTAGAAAGCGGACCTTGGAATCATTGAATCTGCCCGTTGTGTGAGTAAATGTTCCTCCTGCCTGCTCTTGTTGTGCGATTGCTTCTTGTTGTTCCGCCTCATTTTCCTCCTTCCTTTGCTGATCCTCCACTTGGTCCTCCTTCTTCTCCTCCCTTCCTCATAGCGAGCCCGTGAGGAGGCCAAGGGGGCTTCTGACCTTCTCTGTTCTTCATCACCCCTGCTCCTCCTCCACCTCCTCTTTCTCCTCCTCCACCTCTGCATTCTCGGGGGGTCGCCTTCACCAGCTGATTCGGTGCCAGCAGTACCCCTTCCAACACCATTCACGAGGCCAGGGTCGTAGCACCAGGCAGCGCTACGGTGCCCTTCTGCTTTCTCTCCTCCTGCCCCGACGCGTCGACGAACTAGTGGGGGCGAGGGTGTTGTCACCAGCGCTCGACAGCGAGCGCACATTGAACTACTTCTGCATGGCGCGCAACTCGACATCAGGCTTCCCGCACGTCCTCGTCGCCCTGATCCTCCTGCTCCCCAGCCTCTTCATTCTCAGGACTCTTTATCTTCTCTCTCTCCTCATCGCTCCTTGTACTGCTGCTCCTCCTCTTCATCCTCACCCTCCTTCTCACCCCTGGGCCACAGGGAGCGGCATGAGCAGTGTATCCTTGCGCAGTTGGACGGATGAGGAGGAGGAGGAAGGGGAGGAGGAGGAGGAGGAGGAGGAGGAGGAGGAGGAGGAGGAGGAGGAGGAGGGGGAGGAGGAGGAGGGGGAAGAGGAGGAGGGGGAGGAGGAGGAGGAGGAGGAGGAGAAGGAGGAGTTGCAGGCGGCGCGCCCTCTGACCCCCCCCTGGGCGACCACACGCGAGGTTGAGAGGACGCCGGGCCAGCGGAGCGCAGCGGTCCGGCAGCAGCCCCTGCACCGAGCCCCAGTTGCGGTGGCGCGGAGTCCATGCGCACGCCCTGCGGCGCCCCGCCGACACGCCTCTCGGGCCGGGCGAAAGGGGGGGGATTGGGAACGGGGGGGGTTACGAAACTTGCTGCGTGCAGCTGGTTTCGGCCTCACCGAGGGGCCCATTCCTCGAGACGTGGCCGCCTCCGGCCCCGGGAGGCGCCGGGAAAATCAGCTACGTGAGCTGATTCTCAAGCCCCCCCTTTGCTATCCCCCCTTTCGCCCGACCCGAGCCTCGTGGGCCCCGGAGGCAGTGGAGGGCAGGATGTCCTGGCGGCGGCTGTCGGCGCCAAGGCCCGGAAGCCGCCGTGGGCCCGACCTCTCGGCAGGCCTCTTGCAGGACCGCGGAGCTGAAGCGGAGGTCGTGCATGGCGGAGGCCGGGGACGAGAATGGTTGGGCGTTTGTGCTGCGTCTCGCTGTGCCGGCGTAATCCGCCACGATAAGGATAACGAGCGCGGGCAAGAGCAAGAATTTGTGCGAGGGCATTGCGACATGTTTGAGATGCTGTTCTCGAGGCGGGGACGTGCGGATGGCGCAGCAGACCCATGCGGCCACGCTTGAGGCCCAGGCTGGCGCTAGGAAGGCACCTGCGGCTGTGTCTGCGTACATTGCGCAGCTCACAGGCGACGCATTGGAGCCGCCACGAGGGATCTGTGCAGCAGGGTAGGCTCGATTGCGTTTACGCGCGTCTTCAGTGAGGGCTGGAATGACAAGGGCACGTAGGTCCATGTATCTCATCCTCGTCCTCCCCCCTCTCCGTCTCCTCCTACTCGCTCATGGACCGCCCTTTCCCCTTCCTCCCCCATCATTCTCCCCCTCCTTTTCCCCCCTATGCGCCTCGGACTGCCTGCCCACCTGCCTCTCCTGCCTCCGCGGGGGTAGTCGACAAGAGCTCGCGGGGACAATAGCACGGCACGCGGGGGCATTGCCAAATTATTCGGTAGATGTGGCGGAAGCCGAGCAATGGTTCCACACAGTTTTCCGCTTAAACGCCGTGAATTGGTCAGTCGACGTCGTGCGGGGGCGGGTCGTGATGCCGTGTGTGCGACGGCTCCAGGTAGCTTTTCGGTCTGGCGTATTCTGCTTGACGCCGTAGCTCTGCACGCGATTCTCGGTGCCACGAGGAGGTTGGGGAGGAGGAGGAGGAGGAGGAGGAGGAGGAGGAGGAGGAGGAGGAGGTTGGGGAGGAGGAGGAGGAGGAGGAGGAGGAGGAGGAGGAGGAGGAGGTGGGGAGGAGGAGGAGGAGGAGGAGGAGGAGGAGGTTGGGGAGGAGGAGGAGGAGGAGGAGGAGGAGGAGGAGGAGGAGGAGGAGGAGGAGGAGTAGGAGGAGGGAGTCGGAGGAGGATGAGCAGCAGCTGTATCAGCAGGGAGACAGATGGAGAGAACACGCGGAGCCCCATTGAGGCAAGGAAGGTGATGAGGCGACGAAGAGGGAAGGCGGGTCGCCGTGAAAGAGAGAAGCACAGGGAGCAAAAGGAGGATCAGAAGAGGGATGCGCAGGATTTGGGTGGGAGGAGGAGCAACGGGCACATCGTTTACACGTTGAGAGAGCCCTTATCCCACCCCTTCCCGAAGTCCCATCCCAGCGGCTAGCCCAGTCCGCGACAGCGTCGCCTCCCACCAGCAACCCTCTAGAACTAAGAGCACATGTACAACACCTTCTGGGATGCGGAGCTCGAGGCCAGCACTCTCAAAGGTACGGCCTCCAGCGAATCCGTCTCCGAATATTGAGGTGGAGATGAGGAAGAGAAGCAGAGTAAAGGCGAGCATGAGGAGGAGTAGGAGTGGAGACGGACCTGGAAGTGGAGGATTGAGAGGAGGATCATGCGGTGGAGGAGTAGTGCGCAGCAGGAGTAGCCATCACGGTGTACCTATCACGAGAAGTATTGTCTCGTTATGTTTGCTTTTGTGTTGTATTGGTCCCAGGTGAAGGCGAGCGGGAACCATTCGGCGTTCTACCAGCTCAAGTACTGGACATTCGAAAACAAGGAGGCTTGTGAGAAGTTTATGCGCCGGCCATCGCGGTACGCGCAGAAGGCAAAACTCCCAGGCAAGAGACCAGAGACTCAGGACGCCGGATCGATCATGCAAGCAACGGCTGTTCTTGCTTCGTCGTCGTCGTCTTCCTCCTCCTCCGAGCACTCCTCTTCCACATCATCATCCGTACTCCTGTCCTCTTACTTCCGTCCGTGTTCGCCTCCCGCTGACCCCACCACCTCTGACTCCTCCGTCCCTCCCTCATCCGTTCCTGCCCTGGCCATGTCTCATCCCCTCTCTCGCTCCTCCTTTCCCTGCCTCCGTGCTCCTCTCGCTTCCTCCCACCCATCCCACCCCTCCCTCCCGTCCTCCGCTCGTCGATGTCCGAGCAAGGTCGAGGCCGAGGAAGACGTGCGAACGAGCCGCTGGGAACGAGGCTCGCTGCGCTCGCTCCCCGCCATCTCTCTCTCTCTCTCTCTCTCTCCCCTCCTCCCTCCCTTTCCCCCCCTCCTGCCTTTCTGCCCCTTCTCCAGGCACACATCACGTTGAGGATCGGCCCCGCAGCAGGTGACCAACATACACGTCGCTCTCCCCGACGGCCCCTGGAACCCACAGGGATCTGGCGAACTGAGCGAGTCCAGTATTCACGGCACGTATGCTCCAGATGTCGTGAGTCGGGGTTTCTCTGTTGCACCTTTCCAGAAGCTTGAGGCAAGTCTGTCACCGTGCCAGCTGAGCACTCTGTGCTGCGAGCCTTCGAGCACCGCCCAGGAAGCCGTAACATCTGATGCTTTTCGTCTGCACTCCTTGAGGGACTCTCTCGGCGCTCATTTGAGCCTTCTCGGGGCTGTCTTGGGCTCATCTGGGGCAGTCGCCGTGGGGCCGTCTGGTGGGTAATTGTGGCCGTCGGTGGGCTGTATTGGGAAAGTCTCAGGCCGTCTTGGATTCCTAGGGAGCTCGCTTGAGGCCGTAGATTGCCGTCCAGACGCCATCCTGGCGTTTTCAGTGGGTTATGTTGGGTTTTGGGAGACCGCAGGCAGGTGGAGCGATATTTTATCGAGGGGCGTGTATAACAGAATTCATTGGAACCACAATGGGCATCAACGTTGTTTGGCCCTTCGCATCCCTCTTCAAGAGAAAGTGCTGGGGATGGATTGAAGCACCTTGAAGGTCTCTTCGGACCTCTTAAGCGCTTCTCAGGGGCCGCTGGGTGCACACTGAGTCAATGTTTCGAGGTCTTGGCGGCCTTGGTGGTTTCCCTGGGCCGTCTTGGCAGCCTTGGTGGGCTTATGAGGGCCCCATGGGTCACGCAGCACTGCGCAATGAGCGGGGTGGGTGTCTCTTGAAAACCTTACGGGAACCCACTACACCACGCCCTATCAACGTGCCAGGGGCATGGAGGCAGATATGCTGGACGCCACCTTCTCGGCCGCACGTGTAGGAGGAGGAGGAACGGAGGGTCGACAGGAGATGGGGACGCGCCTTCTCGTGCGCTGCGAACCCTGGGGGGGGGATCACACTCACTGCGAACGGTGCGCGGGACCTCCCCCCCGAGTCCCTCCTGATTCGCTTTCCTTTTGAAAGCTTTTTGAGGATGGTAGCTATCATCCCCTGAAGCGCGTGATGGGGGAAGCAGGGAAGGCTGCGAGAAAACAAATCCTGTGTGCTCAGTCCTCCTCCTCAGCCTCCTCCTCCTCCTCCTCCTCCTGCTCGTCCTGCTCCTCCCCCTCTTTCCTTGCTTCCTGCTCCTCCTGCCGGCTCTCTTCCCTCATCCCCACCCCCCGATGCCCAGCAGCCGTTGAAATATCCTCATCTTCGGCGCTTCGCTTCTCAGGACGCTGACACTCAGCAGCTGCTTCGCGCTCTCACCAGCCTGAACGGCCGCACCATCGAGCAAGACAGCATGCTGACGTACATGCAGTCCAGCATCTCCGAGATCATCTGCCAGGCTTTGCGACGAGATATGGCTAATGATGATGACATTGCGTAACAGGAGGAGGAGGAAGAGGAGGAGGAGGAGGAGGAGTAGTCAAGACGCTGCCGTGTCTATAGAATCATCGCACGCCTGGTGATTGCAAAGAGCATGGTGAGACAGCTACATGCGAGAAGGTGCACAAAACGTTCCGTAGTCATTTTGGCACAAGGCTCAAGGTTCTTTTGGGCTCGGTTTTCTCTTCTGTAGGCACCTGAGAGATCTTTCCAATACCCAAATGGATTCCTCCGCTCTGATTGACCCAGAGAAGGGAGAGGTATCCACCGATGATGGTGAGTACGAGGATATTTCTGGTTCAGAAGGGCTCTCCGTCTCTACCGCTTCCGACGCACAAAAGAAGAAGGAAGGTGGCGACACGAATTCCACGAACGCCGAGGCCACCAACAGCAGTGAATGCAACACCGCCAGGTGCCGGATGTTGGTCGGGATCTTGGCTCTGATGATTTCGTCATTGTCCAATTCCAGCCAGTCCGTGGCGGTAAAGATGGCTGGGCGCGCTGGCTGTCAAGCCTTGGTTGCGGCAACAGGGCGCTTCTTGATCCAGACTCTCATTTCCAGTTGGAGCCTCGGGGGCATCATCACTCCAGCTTATGACATCTGGTATCTTGGTGGCAGTCGAAGACTTTGGATTACGGTGCGTTGTGTCTCGGGCAGCTTGAACTTTGGCGTCTTCTCAGTCGTCGTGACGTCCATGGCAGTAGGCGAAGCAACCATGATTAAATACGCATCGCCCGCCATAACATGCGTACTAGCCTTTTTTATGTTGGATGAAAGGTTTGGGTGGTCAGAGAGCGCGGCTTTATTGGCATGTACGTGTGGGGTGGCTCTTGTCGCATCTGCGGGTGCAGGTGGAAGCGGCACGCATCACTCTGGGCATCTTAGCTACTACTTTGCAATAGCACTCGGGCTGTTTGGATCTCTTTGCAATGCGGTCAGGAACATCTCTCTCAAGCGGCTTGGCAAGGCGACGGAGTCTGCTGGCGACCGGAGTGCTTCGACGACGGCCCTTCAGGCTGATCTGATGACATGGATGACCGGCATCGCTGGGCTGACCATGTGCGGCACTTCGGCGCTGGTGATAGAGGGCCCTGGGGCGTTTTTGTCGCTAAGCTCGCCGACATGCCTCTTCTGGGTTGCAGCGGTCGGTGCTGCCGGGTACTGCACACAGTGGTCCATTAACTGGGGAGCGCAGGGCGGCACCGCGATGCTCAACAGCCTGATCAGCTATCTTGACGTAGTATTTGCATTAGTGTGGCAGGTGGTCGTCTTTCAGGAGCCGTTGCAATTCAAAGTCGTCGTCGGCGCTGTGCTTGCGTTCGTGTCGGTTGTGCTACTCACAGTCCAGAAAGCTTGCTAGCATGCTAGTATTAGCCTGGGCGCTCTTCCATAATTCGCATGCCTTGCTGCAGCCAGAGCTCTCGTCAGGTGTTCACGGGTACCGAGCTTTTTTTTCGTGGTCCAGGCTGAGACGCCCTCCCAGCCGTTTTCGAATTAGTCCGTCGAGCATGGTTCTGACCTCGGGCGAGCCCGTAGGAGTACAATATTGTGGATATGCTGGGGCGGATGGAGGATCAGCATCTAGAGGAGGAACAAGTGCTTTGCCTCGGCGCTTCGGCTGCTGAATCATGCCGTCGCACAGATAGTACAGAAACACTACGATGAGTGGAATGGTTGATTATGGATTATGGTCTCAGTGATCAGTTTAGTGTTGAGTATGGTTTCGGGAATCCGCATCGCTCGGAGCCTGCAGATCCGTAGGCTGTGGCGCCGTAGCGCTTGCCACTCGATATCCTGCTGGGTTCTTATTTGCATGCCTTGCAACTGGACACACATGCAGTCATCCCGATCGCTCTGATGTCACCTACGCCCAGAGCGTTGGTGGGATTGGCATGTCTTGCTGCAGCAAGGGTTCTTCTCAGGATTCTGGTTCGGGGTGAAGCTTTCCCACTTAGTTTCCGAAGTGGCCTGGGCATGCTGAAAATCCGGACGTGTCGGGGATGAGCCCCTGCGTCGGTAGGGCTCCAAGGCACCTCCCTGGAGGCGAAAACCGTCCTCAGGACCGACTCCCTCGGGCAACTGGCGCCATCTTTAGGCGAACAAGAAGTGTCATAAACAGAAAGACTCGGAGGTCCGCGCGGATTTCTCGGATCGGCGCTGGACCCCCCTCCCTGGCGCGCGGAGCGCGCCAGGGGCAGCGCCGGGTGGCGCCGCCAGGGGGGTTCAGCGCGGATCCGAGAAATCCGCGCGGACCTCCGAGTCTTTATGTTTATGTCACTTTTTGTTTCCCTAATCTCTGTTGTCATGCGATGGGGCTCAGCCTTGAGGACGCTGCGGCAGCCGTGCTGCGCATGGTGCCCGGGGCCTGAGCTCCTCGGGCTCCGGCGGAGCTTGGCCCGACGCACGGTTGCTTGGCCAGCTTGAGTGCTCGTGTTGCGCTGCAGTGGCGGTTCTGAGCATCGACCCTGGACCATGGATCGTCTCAAGTGTTCATTCTTGGTGGCGGCTAATGCTCACGGGTGCCAGCCTGTGCTTTGCAGCCTCGGTAGCTCGCTCAGCGTCTGTCGCCCATCCTCTTCCCCGATGAGGTGCCAGTTATGCCGAGCGAGCAAGCCATGCTACACACTTGCTTGTCTCGTCGCAGACATCGCGGACAAGGCAAGGCCTGAATCACCGCACGCATTCGCTTATCTTCAGCACTGCTTGGCAGTTCAATAATTTTCATCCCGTTGCGCGACGGGTGCAAGGGACAAAGCTACCCTCCATACCGCAGAAGCGGCGCGCGTCGGATTTTTTCGTGGTCCAGGCTTGGGCACACCCATTTAGGCAACCTAAGTCACGCCCGAACCTGTAGGAGTACAAGAGGGTGGATGCATGGGAGACGATGGAGGAACAGCAGCAGGAGGAGGAGGAGCACGTGCTTAGCCCTTTCCTACCGCTGCTGCACGGCGTTTCGATGAGCGGACTGGTTGATTACGGATTCAGTTTTCGGTATTGCGTTGAGCCTGCGGGTCCGTAGGCTGCGGTTTCACAGCGCTTGTCACCCAAGGGGGGGAGGTCTGAGGTGAGAGGCAGGAGTAGTGCTCGGGGGAGAGGGGTCCCACATCGCACCCGTCCAGGCAGGCGTGCCACTGCTGTGCGCTGTGGCCCGTGCGGAATTCAGGCAAGACGCGATGCGACGTCTGGAGCATCCCTGGCGCGCGCGCTGCCGCCTGCCCCCTCACCAACTCCTATGGTACCAGCGCCGTGCTGCGTGCCTGGGGGAGTTTTTACAGTACATAGTCTTGGTCTTTCGCCTCGGCCTTCGGGTGTTGCGCTGCAGAAAAAAAGGTGCACACTACGTACAGGGTGCGGCTGCCGCACAATGTGATACCACATGGGACGAGGGTGACTGGCTGTTTTTTGTATCGATCCAGGCACGGCGCAGTATGTTTCGTCATGCCTTTCAAAGAGTGGTACGTTGTGGCTCACCGTAGCGTGTGGTATGTGTGTGTGCGGGTGCGTGTTTATGTGTGTTTGCGCCACGATGCGGCTCGCTGCTGAGAGTGCTTCGGAAGCGGCTCGTGCCTTGTCTATTAAAGCTGGTCTTCATCGTGCCTCGTTAATGTGGATAGTACCAGGCAGTGCTACACGACAAGCTAGCTGAGCGTTTCAATGGTTTAAGGCAGGTAGAAGAACGTGTTTGTGTGTGTGGGGGTGGTGGAATTCTGACGATGCCGCAATATGATGTAGCACAGTACGGCGCACTTCAAAGTACACCGGGATTCTTTCTAGCGAAGCCCGTCCTTTCAGTATTGCGAGATATTGCGACACATAATGTGTACATCGCCAGATGCAGAATCGTACAGTAACAATTCTGTAGTGTATTTAGTGGCCTGCGGTGCATCTTGCGACCATACTTGGAACGTAGACCAAAGCATCTTGAAGGCCTCGCAACGTCTCGTGCCGAGCCGTTGAGGGGTTTCGTGGAGGCCGCTTGGGGGTCTCCTTGGGTCTTTTGAGGCCCATTACAGCCACTCGGGGGCATCTTGCGAGTCGCTTGGAGGCCTCCGCGGGGTCTTGGGTTCATCTATTTAGCCCGTCTTGGGCCAGTCGTGGGCCCCTCTTGGGAGCGTCGGGGTGTATAATTGGTAGTTCGTTTTACGGAAGTTCCAATTTCACACCTAATCGTTCCAGTCGTGGATGAATTCGGCCTTTTGTGTCTGCCCCGAGGGCTTCGAAGACAGCCCTAGAGACCCCCCAAATCCGTCTACAGCATGGGCAACCGTCAGGGCAATGCTGGGCATGTGGGTTCAACAGATAGGGAGAGGTCACGCGCCAAGCCCCGCAAGCGCGCCAGAGTGTGGGAGAATCCTACCGGTAGTTCGGGGGCAGGGGCTTGAAGATATCCAAACATTCCATATGGAGGGTGATACACTCCGCGCCGTAAGCGAATAGGGATTTGGTGACGGTCCTCTTTCTGCATCGGGGACGGCACGGTGGCGGATACATTGTCGCATCGTTCCTCGCATCACGCGCGGCGTTATACGCGTCGTTCTATGTTTAGAGCAGTTGGGTATCGCGCACTGGCCTGGACCTTCCACAGCACACGTAGTTTTAAAAGGGCATCGCATCAAGTCGCATATCATAGAAAAGTGATTGTGTGCTTTGTCCGGCGACAGTCTCGTATGCCAGACCGTTGGGCAGAACAGTGCGTTCATCAAAGCTCGGAGTATAATGCATTGAAGCTGTAGCTAAAGTGGTCCACTTCTACCTCGCATCGGTCATGACCAGTTGCGTAGTGCCTCATGATACCGCGCATGCTGGTGCACCACAGCATTGCACAGTCGATCAACATGTCTTGCGCTAGATTTTTGCAGAGACGAGCACAACAGCATACAGTAGCTGACCACGCACTACTACATCCTGGCATTCTGGTATTATTTTTTGACACGAAGTTTTGGTATCGGAAGCAAAGCACAGTGCGTCTAGCATCTGCACACCCTGATTAGAATAGGAAGCCGCAAGCAAATCCCATCAAAGACGTGAGGTCGACCATGGCCCTTCGCATCAGGGTAGCACCTGTCGAAGGGCGCATCCTGCATGGTCAATCGCGACGCGATCGCGATACTGATAGGTCTCCTCCTCCTCCTCCTCCACATGTAGCGACACGGCTATCACCTACTTGATGCCCATTGCAGTGCTGTGCCGCTACCGTATAGTAGTTCATGGCCTCGCGACACAGCTTCACAACTTCGTGGCAATTGTGGGCCGTATGCGCAGTTGATGCCACGACTGCATCGAATGGTGTCACAGTGTGCTTACCAGTCAGCCGTAACGCGTCACACTGCTGCATGGCGCATCGCACGCAGCAGTACCGTAGCTAATCGCGTGACCATGGGTCCGAATGTAATGCCGCACATGCCACATACATTTGGTCACAGCCAACACGGCGGTCCAGCCAGTAGCATGCCGTCTCTTGTCACCGCGTGAACCGAAGCATCTGTATCGAATGGCCTCCTGCCAGTGCCGCCGATCCAGGGCGGAGAGGAGGAGGAGGAGGAAGGAGGAGGAGGAGGAACGAGGAAGGAGGAGAAGGAGGAGGGTGGGGAAGGAGGAGGAGGAGGAGGGAGGAGGGGGAAGAGGAGGAGGAGGAGGAGGGGGAGGAGGAGGGGAGGAGGGGGAGGAGGAGGAGGAGGAGGAGGAGGAGGAGGAGGAGAAGGAGGAGGTGGAGGACAGCTCTGCGGTGTGCCTGCTGCTGCTCTTCCGCATCTGCCGTGTGCCTGCCCTCCTGTGCTGTCCTCCTCCTCCGTTTCCTCATCCTTCTCTTTTGTTGTCTCCTTCGCCCGTCATTCCTCCTCCTCCTCCTCCTCCTCCTCCTCCTCATCCTCCTCCACCCCCTCCTCCTCCTCCTCTCCTCGTCCTCCTCCTCTCCTCCTCCTCCTCCTCCGTTTCCTCCTCTGTTTCTGTTGTCTCCTTCGCCCGTCATTCCTCCTCCTCCTCCTCCTCCTCCTCCTCCTCCTCCGTTTCCTCCTCCGTTTCTGTTGTCTCCTTCGCCCGTCATTCCTCCTCCTCCTCCTCCTCCTCCTTTTCCTCCTCCGTTTCTTTTGTTTCCGTCGCCCGTCATTCCTCCTCCTCCTCCTCCTCCGTTTCGTACTCCGTTTATTTTGTTTCCGTCGCCCGTCATTCCTCCTCTTCCTCCTCCTCCTCCTTCTCCTCGTTCTCCCCTGTCTATTCCAGCGCCTCACCTGGCAGCCCGAGTCTTGTAATCGCCAGGGTAGGCAGTCGGTCACGTAGCCCACTGGGTGTAGGTGTGCCTCCTTCCTTGACGCGTCCTCCATCCCCTTCTCCTTCCCTGCTGCGTGGTCGCTTGAGCACCGTGCCCGCGCCCGTGCGCCTGCGGGTATAGGTGGGATTGCTGTTCGATGGGCTGCCGACCCACTCCTGCTTCGCTTGGAGAGTGGCTTCTTGCTTCGCCCCAGATGTCGGCTAAGCATCCCCTGCCCTGCCCCCCCCTCGTCTGTCCCCTCCCCTCCCCCTGCCCACCCCTTCGGGCAACTCGTGCTCGGGCTTGGGGCCTCGGGTGGCGCACCGGTTCTTCGGTGCAGCTCTGGGGCCAGCGTCCCCGGGTGCTCTGGCTCCTCCTCCTGAGGATGGCCCCGTGGGCCCTGGAATGTTCGCTTGAGGGGCAGAGGTGGCCCCCACGGAGTGTGTCTCTGCTCTTTCCAATCTCCCCTCCCCTCTCCGGTTCCCCCCCCCTCCCCCCTCCCCCCATGTCGGATCTGCCCCGGTGGGCTCTCCGAGGCCATGGTCCAGAGCGGGCAGCGGCGCCCGCTGTACCCCGGCAAGACGCCGCAGGAGTCGGCCCTGCTTTTCCTGGCCCGCTTCCTGAAGGCGGCTCGCAGTAGGTCGCTCGTCGCTCGTCGCTCGTCGTTCGTCGTTGTCGTGCGCGCGGGCGCGGCTGTGGTGCCGGAGCCGCACGGCGGAGAGGGGGGTGAGCGTTACGTCATGCCCCACCCCCCCCCCGCCCTCTTTCTCTCTCTCTCTCTCTCTCTCTCTCCCCCCCCATGACGCCCGTCATCGCCGATGAGAAAGAAACGCGCTCGAGGGTGGGGAACGAAGAGGAGGAAGAGGAAGAGAATGAGGAGGCGGGGCTCGAGAAGGAGAAGCCACAGCGGCAGAAGAAGCACGAGGAGGATAACTGCAATTTTGATTTTCACTTCAATTGAGATTCGTACCATTCGCACGGATCCGAGCACGAATCGGGATCGCGCATTCAGCATCGGAAGAGTATCGCTATGTCTACAGAGCAGGATGCACGTATACCATGGCATGTGAGACACATTCAAAGCCAGGCTATGCTGGCAACATTGAATATGGGAATGCCACGCCTCAGCGTAGTGATAACACAACGCACGCGCCCCAGTCTTGAACTACGGGTCTCGCGTTGTCCTCATTCCATCCTCCACCCGCTCCTCCTCTTCGGTCTTCCTCCAACTTCCTTCTCCTCGCACTTGGTGCGCCTCCTCTACTCCACTCATGCTTTCTCCTGATCCTATCTTCCGCTCCTTCGACCGCTTTCTCTTCAATTCCATTCCCGCTCATCGCACTGTCTTCAGGGCCCTAGATGCCTTTCAGGGTAGTTTGCTTCCTCGTCGGCCCCCCAGGCTTATCTGCGGATCATCCTAACCATCCCTTGTATCCCAAACCTGCACTGCTCCTCATTGGGCGCCCGGGGAGGCCAAGAACTCCATCGCCACCGACCTGTACGCGGCTGCTGTCCGCGCCGAGTACGAGGCTGGCCAGTCAAAAGCATTGGTGTGCCAACAGTTGGGAGTCACATCCGCTCCCCCTTCCTCCTCCTCCTGCTCCTCCTCCTCCTCCTCCCCCTCCTCCTCTTCCTCCTCCTCTTCCTCCTCCTCCCCTCCTTACCTCTGCATTCACACTCCTCCTCCCGCTCTCCGTCGTCCTCTCCCATTTCCCCCAGAGGGGGCGGGAGCGGGGGAAAAGCGAGAGAGGGAATCGGACAAGCTAGGTGCGTTCGCGTCATCTATGACGTCCTACCTCTCCCTCCCATCCCCAACCATGGCATAGATCTTCTCTTTATTCGCACAGTCGGATGTCGTAGCAGGGCATAGCATTACATGGCAAATAATCGGACGCGTAAGAGAAGGTCGAGGCGGGGCAAGGATATGACGAGGAACACCTCCCCGGCCCCCGTATTACACCCGCCCGCGATGTTGGGCCCCGCGTGCGAGGAGTTCCTCAACGATTGCGCGGTGCCGCAGTTGCTGAACGACCTGATGCAGCAAGAGAGGGATGGCGCTCCAGGGCCCGAAACACTGACCTCATTATCCGCCCACCCCCCTTCTCCTTGCTCCCTTCTTCTCCTTCCTCCCTCTATCACCATCTTCCTTTCCACGTGTTCTTTTGCTGCACCCAGGGGCAAGAGACAGCTCATTCTTGCTCGTCTCCTTCTCTTCATGCCCCCAGTTCCCCTCACTCCTCCCGTGGCTCCCCATACTCTTCCCTTGTTCCACCCCCTTCCCACCATCCTTCTCATCATCCTCGCTACTCATCCGTGTTCCTTCTCGTCCCTCGCCTCCCTCACATTCTACCCGCCGCTCCTCTCCCTCCTCGTCATCCGTTTCGGGATGAGGGGGAGGGAGCACGTGGAGGACGGCGAGGACACATGACGGCTACGTTTCCAGCGGGGGAGGAGGAGGCACATGTTTGGCAGACAGAGGGGAAGGGATGCGACTCCATAGCCCAGAAGCTACATCAGCATCATGCACATCACCATCACCCTCGCCGTCGTCGTCGTCGTCCTCACCAGTACCATGATCTCCGTAGCCAGTTTTGAAGCTGGATGCGGCGCGTGTTGCTGAACGCACTCCTGCAGGTGTTGCACCCGCTCGGCACTGCCCGATGGCGGCCCTCGTCCTCGAGCTGCACAGCTTCGCCCTCCGTGCGCCCGGACGCGCTCGGACATCACTGCCAGGGACTCCAGGAGGCTGCACGCTTGGCTCAGCGCGGGGGTGTCATCCCTGGTGCTCCAGCTGAGAAGCCCACCAACCTTGCCATTGCCTGCAACGTGGTCCGCCGCATTGCAGCTGCTGGCATCCAGAAAGTCAGGCACGAGCTCGGCAACTTGCTCGAGCAGCCTGGACCTGTCACAGGGCCTCCTGATGCTTAGCACAGTCGTGAAGATGTCCACGCCGACCGTCCTGTTGACGCTCGCATCGACCAGAACAGTCGAGAGCTACGGTGTCACCATGCGCAACACCTCGCAAGCGGAGAAGCTCAAGCTCAAGGTCAACTCTGCCTGTCCCGCCGCTTTCCAGCTTCACGTGTACTCGACGTTCACAGCGGGCATGACGCATATGACCGAGAGACGTAGCGGCTGCCACCACTGTCCTTAGAAAGTGCGTGGTGCATTTGCAGGAGGCGAGCCGAATTGATCGCGACGTTATCGACGAAGTCGTGGTTCTTCGGATGTGCGACTTGAGGTGCCCTCATCCTGGCGTCCCCGGCAGTGGGTGGAAGATGGCTCCCGTCCGCCCCCGCGGCATGACTAGCTCTTCGACTAAACCGACGCGGCCCCACTCATGCAGACATGGTGCCCGAGGCGGCTCGTCGCATACAGAGAATGCGTTGCTTCCCAAAGATAAGGATATCAAGAGCCGTTCTACATTGCATCATGTTTGGCTTCACCTTTTCGATGCTCGCGCGTTTGCCTGGATCCCTTATCACTACCATCAGTATCCTCACCGTCACCCTAATCATCATCACCGTCACCCTCATCATCATCATCATCATCATCATCATCATCATCATCATCATCATCATCACCATCATCATCATCATCATCATCAGCATCATCATCATCATCATCATCAGCATCATCATCAGCAGCAGCAGCATTACCATCATCACCAGCACCATCATCATCACCATCATGACCATCATCAGCACGATCCTCATCATCACCATCATCATCACCATCGCCATTGTCATAGCCTCGTCGTAAGCATCGGTGCTCGGAGCTGCTCGGCTGCTGGCTCTGGTCGCTTTATAAGGCGCAGTCCTCCCCCTCCCCTAACCCCCGCGGTTTTCACCGCCGAGGGGGGCGGCTTCCTTCTGCTCACAATCCCCCCTCCCCCCCTCCTCCCTGCCTTCCTTTTCCCGTCGTGGAGGGGAGAGGGCGGGGCGGAAGCGGAAGGAGGGGAAGGAGGGGGATGAGGAGGAGGCCTCCCCCTCCTCCTCCTCATCCCCCTCCAGAAGGAGCGGAAGCGGGGGGAAGGAGGGGGAGGAGGGGGGGGGGATGAGGAGGAGGAGGAGGGGAAGGAGAGGGGAGGAGGAGGGGAAGGAGAAGAAGGAGGGAGAAGTTGGGCCGAGCAAGTGCACGCATGGATTGGGGCGCGTGGATGGGCGGGTCCCGCTTCCGTGCAACAACGGCGCGCTCCGTCGCCAGATCGGGCGGCATCCGCGGCATCTGCTGAACCTTCCCCGAGCCATGGGATGTGGCGCCCACGCGCCGGATCGACGGGCCCCCGATCCATGCTGGCTTTGCGCCCGAGAGGAGGGCTCGGCATCGCTCGGACGTGTGCATTTTTTCTCGGCGAGAGCCATCGAGGACCAGCCTGGACCATCGAGCAAAAAGAACACGCACGAAACCGAAACATGCACGGGAAATGGACGTCCGAGCGACGGCAAGAGGGAGCGAGGGGAAATTGAAGCCCTCGGTCGCGGTCGATGTTGGGCCCCGCCAGGCACGAAGACATGGACGGAGTGGGACAGGAAGCGGTTCAAGGACCTCAAGTTGCACTTCGACGCGCTCTTTGAGAACGTCGATGCCCAGGCGAGCGGTCGGAGGCGCTCGTCGACACGAGCTCAGGAAGGCTTCGATTCGTCCATCAATATTCGAGGGTGCCGCCGATCGGCCCGACCCGCCGGCCGGTCGGGATCTGGGCCGTTGATAGGGCGGTTGGTAAGTTGGGCGACTTGCATTTTGTCCCGGGTCGGGCAAGCTGGCTCACGATCGGCACTGGACGGTGCATCGGCCTGGATCCAGGGCAGAGAGGGGGGCTGTCTCCGAGGCAATCTCGCTGAGTGCTCGCAGGACGTCGACCTGTGAGCCACCCCGCCCTGCATGCGCCTACAGCATCCGTTCCATGCGATCCCGAGCGTCTGCGGCGGAAGCCGCGCGGCCTCACGCTCCCAGGTGTCCAACCGTCGTTCGTTTAGCAGTTCTCGCCGTCTGCGCCTCGTCGTTGAGTGTCTCATCATCCGACTTCTCCTCGTACTCCTTGCTCCATCCCCCATCCGTACCTCGTTTCTTCTGTTCAGCTCCTTCCCAAGGGCCATCCACCCTCCCCTACTTATCCTCCTTCCCCTTCCTTATGTAGCGTACCACGTTTCTGCGCTTCTGCGCATTTGCGTACGTTCGCGCTCTCATCGGAGATTCAGGTTCAGCCAATGTTTCCCTTTCTCACTGTATCGAAGACGCCTACGGCGAATCACCACCACCCTTGCCTTTGGAAGCGCTTATGTGGCCGAACGTTGCGGCGAGAGCTCGGCCAAGCTATCGGACTACATGTTCTCCCAGCCGTTTTGGAAACTTTTTGGGGAACACGTGGGTGACAAAGAAGAAGAGGGGGAGGGGGGAAATGAACGAGGAGCAGGCCTTTGGGGAGCCTCTTTTGGAGGCTTCTCTGGGGGTTCGTTGGCCGTCTGAGGGCGTTCCTGGCCCGTCCGACGCCGTCGGAAGCCGTCTTGGGAGCCTCTCTAGGCCAACTTGGGGCCCTCCTCGGGCGCTTCAGGGGGGCTGTCTTGGGACCCTCTTGGGGCCGTCCTGGGGGCCTCTTGGGCCGTCAATCTTGGTGGCCCCTGGGGCCGTCTTGGGCCGCCGTAAAGCCGAACACGAACAAACGCCCAAATCATGCAATAACACCTCAGGACAATCAATGATTGTGGCCTCTTCGGGCCGTCCTGGAGGTCCAATTGGAAGCCTCTTGGGCCGTCTCGGGCGATCTTGAGGCCAGCTTGGGCCATCTTGGGGGCATCTCGGCCTGTCTTGGAGACACCTTGTGGCCACCGTGGCCGTCTTGGAGGCAAGCTTGGCCGTCCTGGATGCCACCTTGGGGGCCCCCGTCGAGTGGGAAGCGCGACGGCCTGGGAGGCTTACGGGCCCGTAGTGGGGCCGGACGTCGAGGGGCGGCATCTGCTCCGCGCGGCCGGCGCAGCAGGCCGAGGGCCTGAACCACCAAACGTCTGGCCAGCCCGGCACCCCTGCGGCAAGACCGTCAGGGCCAGAACGAGGACGCCTACGGCGAGTCACCGCCGTGCCTCTCTCGCCTCTCCTCTCTCCCCTCTCTCCCCTCCTCCTCTCCTCTCGCTCCGCTCGCCTTTGGCTCCCCCCTCTCTCCCCTCCTCCTCTTGCTCGTCCCATGTACGTTTCGCGACCCTCAGGGCCATGCGATACAATTCGCAGCGCCAGCTGACACGAGCTGACATGTGACATGCGCAAACCTGGGGGGATGAGGTGTTGCGCGGAACAAAATCACCGCCGTGCCTTTTTGGAAGCGCCTCTGTGACCAGACGTTGTGGCCAGAGCTTGGCCAAGCCATCAGATCATGTGTTCCTCCAGCCGTTGTGGGAACGCTCAGAGGAACACGTAGGGGAGAGAGAATAAAAGGACGGGAGACCTCTTCGAGCTTTCCTGGAGGCTCTCCCGGATACCTCTAGAGGGGCTCTCGGGCCGTTTTGGGCCATCTTGGAGCCATCTTGGGTGCATCTTGGGGGGAGGGAGACATCGGGTGGCCACCTTGCGTTTTCTCAGGGCCATCTTAGACGTCTTGGGAGCATCTTGGAGGCCATCTTCAGCCAGCTTGGCCGTCTTGGAGCGAGAATACCGATAACCTGGTACGTTTACGGGGCCTTTTTGGGCGCCTTGGAGGCCATCTTGAGGCCGTCTGGACGTTTACGGGGTCTCTTGGACGTTTCCTGGGAGCATCTTGGAGGCCTCTTGGTGGCCTAATTCCGCCTCTTTGAGGACTTTGGGGGCTTCTTGGGGGCCTCTTTGGCCATCTTGCGGCGTTCCTGGCCCGTCTGACGCCGTCGAAAGCCGTCTGGGGAGCCTGTCTGGGCCGTTTTGGAGCCTTCTTGGGGCGCTTCAGGGTCTTCTTGAAGTCCATCTGGGGGTATAACCAATCTGTGTCCCCAATCCGTAGCCGTGTGAGGACACCACGCAGCTCGAAGAGCTGCGGCGACCGTTGTGTGGCGGTCCCCACTTATGATACGCAACACATGCAATTACGTAAGTATGTAATGTAATCCCACAGATATGTAGATAGTGTAACTGGAGAATAGAAGACACCAGCCCAAAGAAGAATTGAAGTACAACATAAACCAATTGATGACACAGGTGATCCAAATAATAACCATTGAGAACGGTTATAAACCATGGTCGGAGGAATTGGGTGCCTGTGGTTTCTTGTGTCGGTGGTCCAGCGCACGCTGCCGCATGCTTGCCATAGCCAACACCATTTTTGTCCAAGTGGTCGTGGTCCTCCTGGTGAGGTCCTCTGTCGGCCAGCCCAGCCGGCGGGTGAGGTCAGCCGTTGGTATCGCGATACCCTGCCGGAGGTCGGCGTTGGCTGTTCACACCCAGTACATGTGGTCGAGCGTCGGGACGTGCTGCTCACCGCAGTGGTCGCAGGTGGTCGAGATCTCCTCGCCTTGGTTGGACTGCAGCAGGGCGTCCGAGGCCACGCAGCCGCAGAGGACGGTGGCGATGTGCGAGGCGAGGATTGGGTTAGCTTTCCGTGCTTCCTGTGCCGCGCGCACGGCAGCAGCTGGGAAAGGGCACTCCGGCCGCCATGGGGCTCTCCCGCCGGCTCCGGCCCTGTAGGATTGCCCATTCGTGGGATCGGAGAATGAGTCGTAGCTCGTGGAGCTGTCGGTCTGTTCTGTCGGTGAGTCGAAGCTCTCCCGCCGGGCCTCTCCAGAAGCCGTCGTCGCTGCGCTCTCCTCCAAGTGATGCCAAGTGTGCTTGGTAGGCGTGGAGTGGCCCCCGCGTGTCGGTCTTGATCGTGATCTTGTCCCAAAGCGCAAGTGCTCCAGGCCCCTGTCGACGTAGTCTGCTGCTCAGAAGTTGTAGTGCTCGCTGGCACAAATGGTACCTTAGGTCGGTGCTATGCTCCATTACTACCAGTCGAAGTAGTTCGGGAGCTGCCCGGGGCAATCTCCGCAGGGTCACAGCATTTCGTGCTTGTCGTAGATGGTCCTGGATAGCTCCTGTTGTCGGTGGCGTCACCACTAGTGCCCAGCTCGACACCGGCAGCGCGATGGTGCTCACCGCGGTCGCGCGCAGCCGCATGCTCAGGGGCAGGCGCGCAATCCGCTTCATGCGGGCAAGTGCCTCTTCAAGCTTGCCTCGCTCTCTGGTCGTGAGCGTCGCGCGTTGCATCGCGAAGTCGATTCCGAGGCATTTCATCTTCTTGCTCTGCAGGTGGTGGTTGTCACACTGGTGCGGTAGCATCGTGAAGGACTGCGTCTTGCTGTCGTTGGTGCGCAGCGCGGTGACCGACTCCAGCAGCTCCCACTCCTCTTCGATGCTCCGTAGTTCTTCTGCCTCTGTCGTGGCCGCCGTGCGGTCGTCCGCGAAGGTGCAAAAGGTTGCTCGTGGGTGTAGAGCAGCTTGCCGTCGTAGTGGCCCCATGAGCAGGGTGGCCATCCCGAGCATGGCTGCCCGATCCCCTTGTGGTAGACTGTCTTCAACCAGAATTGTCCGTGGTGTTAAGAGCGGGCCGACCTCAACCCATCTCTCCTGCTTGGATCAAATCGCTTCGATACTGTTGGTGGTTTTGGACGGTACTCCGAGTCGCGACCAGACCTCGCAGACGACCCGGGGGGGAGCCCTGTCGAACGCGGAGGCAGAATCCCACGATTTGACGTGCAGCTCCGTCTGACGCTCCCGAACCAGCCGCTGCTCCTCCTCGGTCAGCGAGCCGTCCTCGTCGTCGTACCTGTTCGCCGCGATTGTCTCTTAAATGAGCGAGAGGCATGGCTCGATGAGGGATTCGAGGGTTCGCCCTTTGAGACCGCCCCCCTGCGTGGGCAGGAAAGCTGGGCTGAGGTAGGTGGCCAGTTGGTCTGACCTCCATCTGTGCCAGGCGCGGACCACGGCGATCGCGATTGCGATAGGGCGTAGTCGGGTCAGGCTTGGGAGTGCTGTGTCCGGGTCTTTTGGTAGGTGGACCTGGCGCCACTGCAGGAGTTGCGACGGCCATCCGTGGTACTCAGAGTATGTGCAGAGGTCAACCAGCTCTTCCAGTGCCTCCTCCGGGAGGAGCATGAGCTCCGAGGGCGTCCATTGGTCTGGCCCTGCTGCTGTGCCTCCGTGTAGCATGTGGCGGAATTGCGCTGCCGCCGGTGGCGCCCAGTGGTCCCAGCAGCCAAGGGCTGCCATGGCGTGTCGTGCTCTATGGTCGTGCTGCTCCTGTGCTCGTTGAACATTTTGGCGTGTCTCCTCAATGTAGTCGTCGTAGTGGTAGAAATACCCGTCCACATCGTTGCCACGGCCGCATTCCGTGAAGTGTTGCTCGTAGTGGTCTCGTATTCTTCCCACCGCGTCTTGTGAAAAGTAGTTGGTGGGCGTGGAGTCGTCGTGTAGTTGCAAGTTCCCGCTGTCATGGTCGCTCTTGGTGTCGTCCTGCACCGCTACGTTGTGGTAGGTGCTCACTGCGTTCCGGATCCAAGCTGCCGTGGTCTTCCCAAGACCGTCTGCCTGGAGCTTCTTCCGCCAGCATTTGGCACGCTTTTTCTTGCACCCTTGGATGGCCTTGCCGAGCGCTTTGGTAGTTTGTTCGATGGCTTCTTGGTCGTCGTCCGGCTTGGCGCCGCCCGTAGTCTGTTGCCACAACTTCCGATTTTGCCGTTCCCACTGTGCTATGTTCCCGGCTGCTTTCCGCCCTTGCCGTGCCGGCGGGGACCGGAGCCGTTGGATGAGTTGCCGCAGTTGCCGCGTGTGCCGGGTCCAGACGTCGTCGTCTTTTTCCCTTCGCTCCCACTGGGCAAACGAGAAGTCAGATTTAGGGACAGCGCCCTTGGTCAGGACCACCGCGGGTTGGGATT